TATGTGGTAATTGATTCACAAAGGAAGGGAATAAAAGGAAAGAAAAAGAAGGGGAGAGGAGGAACAGAGATAAGGCAGGTAATGGGTGATTGAGAGGTTTTCCACATGTGTGTTTACTAAAAACTGTAATCCAGAGGTTCCTATGAGGCCTGATACCTTCTCCTGAGCGTGGATGTGTGCACTGGCATCAGTGTGTGTGTGTGTGTGTGTGTGTGTGTGTGTGTGTGTGTGTGTGTGCGTGCGTGTGCGTGCGTGCATGAAGGTTGGAGGAAGTCTAAAGCCCTGTTTCCCATGCGTGTAATCATCCCAGGATGAGGTGGAGGATGAAGCCGGGCGGGACTTCCCCTGCACCAGAGGGTATTTTTCTCTCACTGTGGTACAAGCACATGGCTGACACAGGCTGCCTCTGCCTGTGAGGGACAGGGACATAGTAACATGGGACCAGGGAAGTCATATTTTAAATGTTCTATTCTGGATTTTAACCAGTTTGCTGGGACATTACTAAAATACTTTGGGAGCTTGTCATTGTGGCATCAGCATGACAGCCAGACAGCGATGCCAATGATGAGAGGTTACACTATAACATCTGCTCAAAGGGAATGGATGGCATTGAGGTATCAAATAAACCATTTGATTTGTGTTCTTTCTGTGGAGAAAGAAGTGGTGATTTAGACAGCCTGGAAGGAGGAGCTGCCGGGAAAGATGAAGACGTGCACACTTTCACACAAGGTCTATAACTTCTCAAATAATGTCAATTGTAGATCTGACACACATAACTCAAACTAACAAAAACACACAGGTCAGCTGTTCAGGCAATAAGCAGTATTACAGTACTGGCAAATCACAGGCTGCAGGCAGATACAATGCAGACAATGTGGGGACCATGTGTGTGCATGTGTATGCACATGTGTGTGTGAGGGTATACATTTGTGTGTTGCTGGGTGACAGTGCCGATGACAGAGCGGTGAGATAAGTCCCATAAGCCGCCCTATCATCTATTCATAGCTCCCTGACTGTGGGACCTCCTGCTGCTGAAAGCAGCCTGATCTCAACCCAGCCTTACTTTATCATCATTACAATCGAGCTTAAACACAGAGGAGAAGTCAAACTGTGACGGACTGTGGCTAATGCTGCGATAAACATCCAATAATGCTTTGACACAAAGAGCAACAAATCTGCCTTTGGACGGCTTAGAAATCATGTTGCCATTGCTTTGCATCTGAATTTTGATTAAAGCAATGCACAATGACACATAATGATTATGAGAAAATGAAAATGTTGGATAGCGTCTGCATGTAGGTATTCGAGTGTAATAATACAAGTGTGTGTGAGAGTGGCTAGATTCTCTTTTAAAAACAGCAGACACAAGGCTCACACATATTGCCCACGCGCCTGGCTCCTCTCAGCACTGCCAGGGAACCAAAAGCCCCAACAAAACAAATTCATTAACCCAGACAATAAAACACAGCTGTGAGGGGCGAGGGGAACTGTTTGAAATCAGTGTCCAGGAACAGGGAGAATCTACCACTTTACAATAAGACTACCCTTATAAAGGATTCATAAAGGGTTATTAATTAGGTTGTAAACACTTTATTAATCATTAAGAACCATTTATAAACCAGTTCTAACAACATACATCAACACAGGCTCGCTATTTGGCAAGATGACTAAGCCTTATATTGACTACCTAGCTTACTTCATCTTCTTCATCAGCCAGCATCCTTGGTATCTGTTGTTCACTGAGTTGATTCCCCCCCCATCCATCTTGATGTTTCTTGGCATCTCTTTATGACCATTTATTTACGAGTTATTAACGTTTATAGCTGCCTAAAGGGAGCCTTGTAAAGTGTAAAACACATTCCCATTTATTAATGAGTTACTACCATTTCTAATAAGGCTTAGCAGTACAGATACATGTGGGCTCACTATTTGGCAAGCAACCGGTCACAGTCACCCTGTTTATCTCATGTCTTATAAAATCTTATTAAGGGTTTATAAAGTGTTCACAACCTAATTAATAAATGAATGACAAACTATTCGTAAACCCTTTATAAGGGTAGTCTTATTGTAACGTGCTACCCAATCTGTTCAAGGCAAACAGAAAGTTCTCAAAATGTCTAAGAAAGAAACAAATCAAAATAAAAAAGAAAGGAAAAGATGTGGACATAATAGAGAGTGAGTAAGAACAGTGTTTCATTTGAACCATTGCTGGGGACAGAGCTGCCTGAGAGCGGGGAGGCTTTACTGAAGCACAACAACAAAAATAATTCCCCTGCACCACAGATCCAGGATCTGCTTTTAATTTAATCCTTTGAACAGGTTGTATAAAGGAAGTACAAACAAAGCTGTCAAATATTATAAATACCATTATAGAAGTTGGGTTTGAATTCAGAAAGAAAAGAAGAAGAAAGACAGATACATGCACCAAATCCAGATTATGATCTTGTGGAAACTGGGAATGGAAATACATCTGAGTTGTATGATTATTATTTGTAAGCTGTTAGCAGGGGGTGGACAGCCATCTGGTTTATTATATCAAGTTAGTCTATTCTCACTACATTTAAAACCTTTACCTGTTCCAGATTCATACTCCAAACAATGGCAATGCACATATTACTGATATTATTTGATTGTGGTGTGTCTAATGTGTTGGCGGGGGGAGACAGGCTGCAGGCAGAGCACACTGCGAGTGAAGTGAAGCAGCCCTCCAGAGCTGGGGTCTGTAGTTAAAGTCACCACCAGAGGGCTCTGCAGCTCATAGAATGAGCTTCTGATCATTGGTTAGTCACACCGCCCCCCCTTCTGTGGGCCTGGCCAAGCAGCCGGACACATGCAGCCGCCAAAAGACTTACGACACCGAGATAGATGGAGGTTCAAATAGTTTTACAGTGAGTGTCCAAAAAGTCAAAGCTCCAGGAAAAGCTCCATGCTCTGCAGCTGCACAGAGGTGAAGACACACACTGACTGACCTCAGTGTTAATGATACTGTTGTGCTCCATTATGGCACTACTATAAAACAGAATGGGTAAAAAACATGGTACAGTGCACCTGAAATGAATATGGTATAATAAAAGTGAGAGTTTCCAACAACTGTGACAAAAAGGAAATATTAAAGGAAAGCTGAGGAATGTTCCCAAGCATATATTCTACATAGTTCAATAGTAGATGGATGATCATTATATTACATCACTCTGTACCCGTGGGTCATTTACATTTCACTCAATCCAGTTGAAGGTAACAATAACACAGCGGTTAGATTTGGATTTCGGAACAAAAATGTGACTGTTCCAATCTCTGGATTAACTAGGAAACATGGCTGGGAAAAAAACATAACACTTAGCAGCTACTGTCACAGTGCCGTTGAGCAATACCAGTAATCCCCAGCTCTTCAGGTTTGAGTTGCTCAGCACAAATGCACAGAAAAAGTGTAATCATACAGGAAGGGGTTTGTTGTGGTGAAGGTGTTTGCCTTGAGAAATAAAGGTACAAAATAAATAAATACATTCATAGAATAAAGCTGAATCTTTTTTTGTGTGCGTTGATTTCTAATTTCTCTAACCTTTGCCAATGGACCTCCCAGAATAGCAGCTTTCTGAACTGACTTGAACCTGGATGAACCCTCTGCAGCCGTTAGCTGCCCCTCAACAGAATCAAGCCATGAATCACTACAAGTCAGGGGTGAGGGCTCCGAGATCACCCAAATGAAAACCAGATGCACCGCTAGCACCTCCTTAGGACTAACTGTATAAACAACTAAATAAATGAATAAATAAAGAAGCCCGTTAACTTAAAACAATGTCTTCTCTCATTCGTTTATACAGTGTTGCACTTACAAATCTGACAAACACTATTGACTTGATTGTAAGAATTTATTTACATTTTGTTTTGCTTCAAGGTTTGCTCTGTGAATGAACATGAAGCAATAGTAATGCTGCTTGTATTGTAGGGCTGTGCAATTAGTCGTATTTTAATCTCAATTACGATTTTGGCTTGCAACGATTACGAAAACAACGTAATCGAAATAAAACGATTACTATTTTAAATAAAATAGTTGAATTATACTTAAAGTTCAGGGTAATCAACTGTTAAAAACATACTGTTTTAATGTTTTTTTTCAATAAATGGATGTTTTCAAAGTAAATGGATAATCGTTTTTAATAATTGTGATATCAATTATTGACCAAAAATAATCGTGATAATGATTGTTGCCATAATATTGTATTGTCACTATGAATTGATAAAGCGCATTCATAATGGCAGCAGAAACAAAAAGCGATCCCTGTTTTTGTGTTGGAAAAACACATTTTCACTTTTAACTTCATGAAAGCCTCTACAAGGTCTGAGTCATCTGACGCATTCGCTGCACGTCAGCACATACATCCTCTCCAAAAGAATCCCAAGAAAAGATAGAAGTAAATCACCTCTGACTTAATCTAACCCCACTCCCCCTTCTTCTCTCCCCTGTCCCCTTCCCTCCTCTACGACTCCCATCTCACCACAGCTGGTAAATATTGTTATATTGTGTTCCATTAGAACGCTTTATTAAGCGCTCAGACGGGGCAAATGGCGCCTTGGAGCTCCCTATCCTGTAAACACTAGGAAGTGCCCTGAAAGCTGCAGCTGAGTACAGCACAGTAAACTAAGGTCACATGAGATAACCGCCTTACTCCGAGTGAGTAAATATTTAAATGTTTTACAGCCATCCAAAATAGTGAGGGGCACTGTATCGGGATGTAAGTGGGGATGTTTCTTTGAGCTAAACTTGCAAAGCCTCGTGTAGAGATTTGTACATGGATTCATGTTAAACTGTGGTACTTCATGAAGATTAACAAGATGACAATCATCAGCAAGAGAGAGCATCAAATGTGAGCAAAGAAATACAACTAGCACTATTTGAACTTTTGCATGTGTGTTTCTGGGTAAAGCATAGTTCATATATGATATATTTCCGCCACACTGAAGGATTGAGAGGACTAACTTGATTGTTGTTGTTGACGTACCTCAGCACTTTTCTCAGGAGTGTCCATCCCCACCATGTTTTCTGTGAGGAGCTGCTGGAGGAGCTGCACCTGGGCCACGCTGAGGTAGAAATCCAGACTGCTGGTCACATTCACCTCCAGAGAGTGGCCACACACCACTACCTCCTACAGAGATGAAGGAGATAGGACAGGGGGAAATGAAAAGAAGGACGTGGAAGGAGTGAGCAGGAAAGTCTTGCAATAACACATCAGGATTGTTTGTGACCTCGTGCACTTTTATCTTGTTTTCAACTTGTATTCTCTTGGTCTATTTGCCTCCTATTTTGCTCCCTTTAGCTTGGTTGTTCCCTCCTTAACCTATTCACCTTTCCTCTGCAGGGTCCCACCCACAGCCAGCAGTTCAGACCTCAGCCTGGAGGCTACATCTAACAGGATATAACTCACTAACACCCCCGGTTCAACCACACACATGGGCCAGACCTACAGTAACGCCGCACAGTGGTCTTTGGCAACTACTGAACATCCTCTGTTCAGACCCACTGTTTGATTTATGTGTCATTAATATCACCATTTCTGTCAGGGTTTTCTCATTGAAATGTCTACAGCCTCTTACATGTATAACCCTTATGATCATTCTATCAGTACGTTTTAGTAGACTAGAGCACTTAGTTGGCATACAGGGAACTGCTTTAGACTGGTTTAGGTCCTATCTATCTGAACGCTCTCAGTTTGTACGTGTCAACGATGAATCTTCGACGCAAACCAAAGTTAGCCATGGAGTGCCACAGGGCTCAGTGCTCGGACCTATTTTGTTTACATTATATATGCTTCCGTTAGGCAATATTATAAGGAATCATTCTGTACATTTTCATTGTTATGCGGATGATACTCAACTATATTTATCAATCAAGCCTGATGAAATTAATCATCTAAATAAAATTCAAGACTGCCTTAAGGACTTAAAAACATGGATGACCTTAAACTTTTTGATGTTAAACACGACCAAAACTGAAGTTATTGTACTTGGCCCGAAGAATCTACGAAACAAATTATCTAAGGATATACTAACTATGGATGGCATTAATTTGGCCTCCAGTGAGACTGTAAGGAATCTTGGTGTTATATTTGACCAGGATTTATCCTTTAACGCCCACATAAAATCAATTTCAAGGACCGCCTACTTCCATCTACGTAACATTGCAAAAATCAGGCATATCTTGCCTCAAAACGATGCAGAGAAACTAGTCCATGCATTTGTTACTTCAAGGCTGGATTATTGTAACTCTTTATTATCAGGGTGTACCAAGAAGTCAGTCAAGTGGCTTCAGCTGATTCAAAATGCTGCAGCTCGTGTACTAACCAGAGTTAGGAAAAGGGACCACATTACTCCTGTTCTGGCTGCCTTATACTGGCTCCCTATAGAACACAGGATAGAATTTAAAATTCTTCTTCTCGCCTACAAAGCCCTTAATGGGCAGGCGCCATCTTACCTTAAAGAACTCATTATACCCTACTGTCCTACTAGGGCATTGCGTTCCAAGAATGCAGGGTTGTTGGTTGTTCCTAGAGTCTCTAAAAGTACAATGGGAGCCAGAGCCTTTTCTTATCAAGCTCCACATTTGTGGAATCAGCTTCCAGTTTGTGTTCGGGCGGCAGACACCCTATCCGTTTTTAAGAGTGCGCTTAAGAATTCCTTTTTGATAAAGCTTATAGTTAGGGCTGATTAGATTCAGCCCCTAGTTTTGCTGATATAGGCTTAGTTTGTCGGGGGACATCTTACTTCTTCCTTCTCTCTGTCTATACCTGTGTACTCTCATGTTCCGATTAACCCAGCTTCCGCAAATGTCTTTCTTTTTGGTGTCTATATACGCCGGGATCCGGAGTCATGGATGATCCTGCGCTCCTCTGTCCTGGATCGCGAGCCCTGGATCTTGAGTCGTGGCTGTGGTCCTGGATCATAGGTCCTGGATGGATATCCTCGTGGATTCATCTTCCTATTATACACACATGCATTTCCAAACATTTGGACTACCTATGTTGCAAATGTATTATCTTTTCAATTTACACACGGCATCTATTGCACGTCTGTCCGTCCTGGGAGAGGGATCCCTCCTCTGTTGCTCTCCCTGAGGTTTCTCCCATTTTTCCCTTTAAACTGTGGGTTTTCTTCGGAAGTTTTTCCTTGTACGATGTGAGGGTCTAAGGACAGAGGGTGTCGTATTGTCATACTGATATTTTGTACAAACTGTAAAGTCCACTGAGACAAATGTAACATTTGTGATATTGGGCTATATAAATAAACATTGATTGATTGATTGATTGAGTAGCAGTCATTTGAATATGGAAAGTCATGATATTAAAAGATTAGAACAATAGTTACAGAATATGTTGCAATGGTGAATAAATGTAGACTTTACAGTATAAATGAAGAAAATACAAAGCACTTTAGATTTTAAAGTATAAATTAATAATTCAATAAAGATAGCTGATGGCAGAAATAGTTTGATTGCAGTTCAAAGTTAGCTGAAAAGGATTTTTCTTTTACATTGTATTAAAACATAGCTGTAATTGATATAGCCATGAGGTTCAGAGTCCTGTTTGTGTTTTTATTGGCTCTGAGTCTCAATATCTCAGGGAGTTATAAAATCACACTGTGTGTGTGTGTGTGTGTGTGTGTGTGTGTGTGTGTGAGTGTGTGTGTGTGTGTGTGTGTGTGTGTGTGTGTGTGTGTGTGTGTGTGTGTGTGTGTGTGTGTGTGTGTGTGTGTGTGTGTGTGTGTGTGTGTGTGTGTGTGTGCGCGCGCTTGTGTGTCAGTGCAAACTATGGATTAGCTGTTACGCATTGTCAGGGGGTGCGTGAGCATGGACGCGGCATCAAAGAGGCAGGAAGTCTCAGAGAGCCGTGCCAGAAAACATCAGCTGTATAAGCAGAAAGGTTTGAACTCTGTGGGTCAAAAGCCTCCATTACACAGCAGACCAGCGGAGGGACTCCTAATGAGTAAGTTACTGTATGTTGGGGAAACATGTAAATACTTCTGACATGTCACATAATTAATGTCTATTTTCATATGGACAACGGATTGAGAGAGTAATGGTTTCAATCATGGCTATAACAGGTCGGTGTCAAAGGGCATTCAATGTCAAAGTAGGTGGCATTGAAGGAAAATAAAAATATGCCACATCTGACTCACTGGGTGTGACTTTTTTAAGCAAATGCCTACATGCTCATGTAAAACATACATTACATTTGACCGTTTGAATGAGCTTGCAACAGCACAGGTGACTGTACTCTCCAGAAAATGTAGATACTTTTGAAAGAAAGATGTAACGCTGGATGTGTAAAAAGAACGGTGTGGAGTGGACTGACCTCTGCCTGACCGCAGTCAGGGGAAATGTTCTTGCTGAAGATGATGGCTGGGGCAGCGGTCACCCGGACAGAGAAGTCCGTCAGGATCGGTGTCAGAATGGCCCGCCTCTCCTGGTGCCTTCTGATACTGAACAGAGACAAACAGCATCACACTGTGGAGTTTCCAGAACTTATATGTTGCTGCTCATATTCTCTTATAAATAAGGTCAAATACTGGTTGGATTTGAACATTTGGAGATACTGCAGTCAAGGTTCTTTAATTGGAAATATATACTTCAAGCAGGTACATACAATACATGTCCCTCACAGCATCTCAATAGACGTTTTCATTTAAATACATAATCATACAAAAATCACCCCCTTTGTTTATCTACTGTATTAGGTAATTGATGTATTTTAGCCATATATTTGTATTTATTATACAAATGTTCTCTTGTCGTCCTTCATATTTTTTGTTTAAGCTGTGTGGATTAGCTGAGGGAAAACGAAAAAAAACAGAAGGCAATATTGTGAACACGTGTGTATAAATAGCTGGAACTGAAATAAAACTAAGTAAAAAATGCATGTATTCATTACTTGCTTTCCCCATGTGTACCAATGTTTTACACTTTTAAAGTAATATAACATTTATTCTACTTACTTTTTTTTTTAAAGGATTTTGAAAGTATTTATACACAATATAGACACAGAAGAAAAAAATGTAGTTGACTATGATTGATTGAAGTTGTTGAAACTTAAATGAAAAAGTTAGTAAAAAGAAAACTAATAATGACTTTAGGTGAGTGATTATAGCTTCACACTACAATACAAACTTCAACCATAATAGAACACTTATTCACTTTATTTACTAATGACTTGTTATGGTTACCAGTTGTGAAATATGTGTAACACTGTCCCATCTGCAGAGGAACACAACAGTCAAAACCACAAATGTTCAACACTGAGATTTTGTTTTGCTCTTAGCTGACAGGCAGACACATATTTCAAACTTGCTCTGGCTTTTTAAATTCAAACCAGTAGGATATAACATCTAATTTGATTTTGTCCTGCAGGCCAGACATGTGAATTATTCCCATAAGTAATCTCTCTAAATGTTGGTATAACACATTTGAGCTGGAAGTTTGAATATGGTTACAGAGAAAGAGCGAGATGTTTTTGACAAGTCTCACTCAGGAACACCCCTTCACTGTATACACAACATCAAATATAGGCATTCTCACATCAGCTCTCTCCATTTCACTAATGTTCATTCCCACAATCAACTCATATTTGTGGGAACATTTGTTAGTAGTTAAACAAATATACAAGGGGGCTTTATAAAGTGGTGTTAATTGCCACATCTGCTGCTATTAAAACAATCAAGTGGTACAGTTTCCATTATTTATAGTTGGCTAGGATTATAAAAGGATCTGTTTCTAGGTGGCCTACAGTACAGTTCTTAAGCAGAACCAATATCATATTCACTTCTGCAAACTCAAATGTGCATTACCAGTGCCCTTAAGGGATTATTTTCGGACACATTTCTCTGCGCAGAGTTGAAGGAGGCCTAATTCAGAGGTGAAATGAACTCTGAGGGCAATTGGTGTTTGCTAATCTCCCCTCAGACAGGAATTGAAACAATGAGTGTCCCGTTGCAGGGGACAGGTGCTATCATTCACCAGCACAGCTCAGAGGCGTGAGGCTCGGCTTACCAGCAATGTGGGGTCCTCTGACTGGGAGATCTGTGTGTCTGTGTGTGAGTGCACCTTCAGAATGACTTTGTTTTCACACAAAGCTACAGTGTGAACAGTCAGTGGAGATATCTGTGGCATGGGACAATGGAGGGACACAGATCAGAGCTCCATGACACAGGTCTTTCCTAGCCGGCAACTCCACACTGTGATGAGGACAGATCCTGTCAGTGGATCCATAGTGCAGGAATTTCCCCGCAAAACCTCAGGAAGCCAAGTGAGGCCACTGCAGATCTGCAACTACTGGAATTGAACCCAAAAACAGCAGAGTGAACATGCCACTAATCCAAAACTGGAGAGAGAGCTGGGGGTATCGATGTTGGGAATGAGGGAAAGGTGTGAACTTTTGAAGTGGTGTGTGTCAAAACGTGTTTAAAGAGAGGTGGTGTATTTCTGTGGCTCATTGCAGCAGACAAGTAAAGCTGTGAACTTGATTCGCCTCTCCTCAGTCTATTCTAAATCACATGTTCAGTTATGACTGGGTCGAGGTGGTGGCTGAGGTGTACAGTACAGCATGCGGGAGTACGATAAAGACCACATTCTTCCAGTGCTCCTGTCTCTGCCAGGAGAAAGGGGAACGAGGAGGCAAGCAAAGCAACCTTAAATGATATATTTGGAAACTAAAAGTGAAACTGTAACTTGACCTTCTAAGCTTGACAACACAGAAGCTTACTTATTGTTGTGAACCAAGATAATTAGCTATATGTAAATGAGAAGAGATGAAGCTCAATCTAAAAGTGACCTTTGTTACAGTATAATACTGTGTTTCATCCTTTGATTAAAATAATAAATCTTAGGCTACATGTTAGATCATCCTTTAATCAGATTCTGAATACATTTCCAGACCAGCAGTTTGTATAGAATGTCTTGAGAAACATGAGTCTACTCAAAAGGCATTTAGCATCTTGGTGAGCCCAACATCTCCCCTCATTGCCCTGTCAGACAATCTGGCCCTGTTTTCATCGACAGAGAGACAAAGTGAGAGAGAAAAATAAAGATTGTGAGGGGATTGAATCTCAGTAGCCCTGTGCTCAAATGAGCATGCAGACTCAGTAATAAAACGCTGATGTAGGTCCAGGTTTAACCATTGAAGCCCATGGCCTATGGTTCGAAAATGACATGCCCAGAATGAATGACTATATCTTCACTTCTAAAAAGGGGTATATGAATAATATTTGTTATCAAAGCAATGATACACCTGTGAGTTGGCTGTAGAAGTGTCCGAATCAATGTAGATGTTGCTGTGTCAATTCAGTCAATTCAGATGGAACATAGAAAAATATATCAATTCTAATCTCTGCCTAAAATTATTTATTATTTATAGTGAAAACCACTCTTGAATGATGGGATAGGAGCCAAAAACCTTTAGGGATCCAAACCACAATATATCATAAGTACCCTGTGTCAGGGTAGATGCTAATGTCGTGAAACTTGAATTTATTTTTAATATTTTTGGCACAGGCAAACCATTTGTTTACCATCAGTGCCATTTGACTTTTCTCAGGTACCACACTGTAAAACTCATTTTATTTCATTGAAATATCACTATAGGTATAGTATATAAGTTTTCAACTTTTTTGGAAAGTTCAGCCTGACCTCTATGCCCTTTTTGGCCACATGCGTAATGGTGCGTGAGCTGCCAGTCAGACCTATACATTACGCGGGGCCGTATCTCTGGAACCCATTGGTCCAATTGGGTGATTGACACCTCTTTGTAACATTTAGAGCCAATAGAATCGAGGGGCAGTTCATAAATCCATGTAAACATTACCATTGGTCAGTTAGAATGATGCGTATGCAGCATGCCCTGAACCAGACGCCCCAACCTGCTCAACCACATTCCACGTTTATTGCCGATAAAGGAATGATGGATTATCAGAAATCATTTCAAAGTGACACAGAGACATTGGATTAACCTTCAGCAGAATTTGTATGCTCTTGAACACAACGCTTGATCATAAAACAGCAAAGGTAAGACATATTTATTGTTATGGCTCTGAAACCGGAAGTTGTTTTCTTGCTCTTTCCTGGCTGCTAGTTCAGCAAGTTTTGTGTTCTGTTTTGGTCAAAATGGTTCATATCGTCAGTTAGCTGAGTTTCTTCCCGTTAAGTGGGTATGCATCATTAATGTGTTGTTAAATGTTAAGAAGCCCTGAGACGCTGTTTTTTGCAAGATGGCGGGGGCAGCCGGGCTTAACAGGTTTTAAAGGGCTGTAACACAACAGACCCTGGAAAAGGAAGATCAAGAAAAACTACTACTTTGAGATAGATGGTCAAAACTACTGGGGAGAGGGAGAGTACAAATAAATCAGGGTGGTCTACTAGGTAGCATCTGATAGATCCACATTATTGTCATAGTGTTATGGAGTGGAATTATTAGAGTATTCAAGTTATTCAAGTCTAAACATAAAATAGTAAATCGGAAATTTAAGAGATATTACGTTTGCCTTCATTTTATATTTAGGTTTGACTCAGGTATAGTCAGAACCTAAGCATTAATTGGCATTGACCTAACTCGGTCTCAAAAAAGACCATTTCTTTAAACCTGAAAGAGGTGACATTGTTTTGCCTTAGTTAGATAGTGTTCACAGGAAGCTGGAAGGAAATGAGGGAGGAGAGAGAGACGGCTTGCAACAGGTCAACTGCTGTCCCCTGGCCGAACTCTGTATTACAATGTGCATTGTTTGTACCTCATCTATAGTGTATTCATTTCTATACTGCTGGTTATGATGTTTATACCTTCTTATCGTTTTCAAAGTGTATATACTTTTGTTTATATCTGCCAGATGTATATATTTACATTATACTAGACATCACTCTGCACTTAACTACTTGTTCTGCACTCCTGGTAAGATGCTAACTGCATTTCATTGTCTTACACTCTGTGCAATGATCGGATCTTAAGTGGAACGGCCGGTCTGAGATTTCAGTTTCCCCAGCAGCCTGCAGCTTCTTTGAAATGATCCAATGTTATTATGTGTTGAACTTACAGTTAATACAACATCAGGTATTGGATTGTTTGTGTGCATGTGCATTGGAGAGTGCATGTGCTTGAGTGTGTCTACACGGACAAAACTGAAAAGTTGAATTAAAGGTATTATGTCAACAAATGTCACATATCTGTATTAGGTTAGTTGAAAGCTAATATTTTAAGTTTAAGTAGGTTCAACTTAATTGTATTGTTTTTAACTAACCTAATACAGTTATGTGAAATGTTGATAATACATTTACATAAAGTCAACGCTCTGGGTTTTCAGTGTGCTCTGATGACCTGAGGTCTCCATCAGGCCTCTGTTGGCTCTGCACTGTGTTCTTCCATAAGGTTATTTTTAGTTGATAGGGAACAAATCTGGAGTCTTTGCCTGTGATTTTTGGGCCTGTTCCATCTGAAAACATGAGTGGAAAAAAAGGATGTGGGCCAAGCAGGCTGTTACACTTGTGCTTGTTTTAGCTCCCGAGTCTATAACAAATGACAGGGTTTGTAATTATGACTGTGCATGGAGAGACTCCATGATAGGGCGCTAACTCAATAACTACATGCTGCTCCTACATGAAGACTGATGAGATACATTCAGAATACACACACAGCACCTGATAGGGGAGTAACAATTTCATTTCTAGCAGAAATGTGAATTATACTTGCTGTGATCATTTTGAGAGATTCATCCAAGTAGACTGAGAATCTCAATGGCCATCTTTCTGCATGCCATGCTCTTTTTGATCATTCAATCTGGAAGCATGCTATTAAAACAAAAGTTATTTAAGAATCTTAGGTAAAGCCGGGTGAATTGATTTTGTGGTGTAATGGTCACATTGGTTCACAGGTGTATTGTGCTGGGCAGTGGATGCAACGAGATTTGTATTTATTTTGAAATGCATCAAATATTATTTTTTAATTAAGAAGGAACCAAATGTTCAATTTGTACATACTTGAATGAATTATTCAAACACCTTCCCCTTAAGTGTTCACATAACATATGGAGAGTCCTGACCTGCTGGCCATGTTCCACTCCAGCGCCGGGTTCTGGGAGCTCCTCTCACTCTCTACGGACACGCCTCCTTTGGTCCCCTCCTTCTCCGGCTTCAGTTGCTCCCAGTGAGCCGTTCCAATGTTGATGGACTGGAGGTCCACCTGATACTGCCGGTCCTCCACCTCTGAACCCGGGTCACGCAGTATGCCGAGGTGCAGTGCATGTCTACAGGGAAGACAAGGACAACTCACTAACAGGCGGACAAAATAATGCATGATTTTATTTATTGTTGTGAGGGTCATATTGTCTCAGTATTTTATATGGGCAATTACAATGGAGATGACTCTAGGAGAGGACCAGGTAGTCTGTTTACTGAACCAGTAAGAGGTTCTGGCAGCAGTCCCGAATCTCTGCTGACTTCCTTCCTCCCTCTGGCTCTCTACAGGGTTTAGTAGAACAAGCTCTTCTCAGGATGATTTATGACTAAATCAAAGTTTCTGGTACAGCCAGGCCTCACTTAATAACCCCACGGGCCTCAGGTGAAATCATTTGTCTCTTAAAAGATTCAGATTTATGCCAGCTTATCATTGGCAGTAAACAGTTCTTACACCTTTGGCTGGACGGCACAGTAGTCTGGAGTCTCTTACTACCTCATTCTTTCTATTTCTGTCTCCACACAACTTGTACAGTATACACAAACAGTGTGAGGCTGGAGGAGATGTAGAGATATGTCAGCAGTGGGCAGCGCTCTCTCTGTACATGGACTGCAACAGTCAGGAGAGTAAATATGGTCGCCAAGAAACAGTGATGTCATCTAGCCTTTGAGAGATCCTGATACATTCACGAAGCAGAAGGAATAATCAAAATGTAACATCTGCATATGACATCAGGGCTTTCGATTCGTTATGATATGTTTATTTGTGCTGGTGAATTCAAATGAGAGCTTAAATGGTATAAATAAGGGCTTAAAATGGCTACAGATGTAGCGGCAGCATGAGTAGCTTTATTTGTTTCGGCAACGTCAACGGCAATTTTCATATAGCGTTTCCCCCCTTAGCCACACTGGAGAGGCCTCTACCAGAGCGTGATGTTATGACAATGAGCACCAAGTAGAAAAACAATGGCAATGGAAGATCAGAGGTGTATAACTGGATTGAGCTGGATTTGTTGACATACAAACAAGTGAAACAGATCCTTAATCAACATTTGGAACCGCATTTATCAACAGAGTATAATAAAAATCAAACCAAGAACCCCGTAAGATTTGGGTGGGATGTGTCAGTCTACATTCATTAGGGCTTTTGTAACAGTACCTCCATCACCCTCCCCAACCCCAAACTGTATTTTTCACATTAAACAAACCGCAGTTACCTCACATGCTTTCCAAATGATCTCTTTACTTCAGCTTATTTAAGAGACTCTCTTACTCATAATCAACATAACATGGGAGTCGGCAGCCAAGCCTCTGCATTGCTAAGCTGAGGGGTCATCTACAATGACATACATATATATGATCAACATTTGTCTTGTTCATGCAGCCAGTGGAAACCGTGGTGATTTAATATCAAAAGACATATTTCAGCCAATCGCAGGAAACGGGAGAGCTTCATTTCTGACAAATGAGGAGGGGAGGAATTTTGGAAGTTCTCCTTGGGGTGCAATAATAATTGAAGCCAGATTTTCTTGTTGTACATGTGGGGGGAAAACACTGGTGGTTTGACATATTTGATTGGTCATGTGAAGACCACACTGCTTGGCCAAAAGAAATAAGAGAATGCCTTGGGAAAGCACGGCACTTACTCTGCCCACCATATACACGGACACACTGAAAACATACAGAGCAAGCAGGTGGAACACACCCTGCTCCGTCTCACAGTATCAGACATCTGCCTGCCACTGCCATGTGTAAAACATAGACCAAAATGAAAATAACAAGCCATAAATGACATACTTCTGCAGATGAGGAAGGCAAGGAGGGAGGGAAGGGAGAGGGGGGAGAAAGAGAGAGAGCGGGAGAGTCTTAGTTTGCCCTTGTTCCTGAGCCAAGCATATCTTAATTGCAGGAAAAGACCACAAAAGCATTATATTTTTACAACAAAATTCTGCTATTTATAAAAACGGATCAAAAGCTCTGCAGAAAGAACGCTCAGTTTCACGGCATTCATGGCTATTATTTTAAAAACATTTCTCCTTCTTCTGACACAATTTAAACCCAATTTGAGTCCGAAAAGCCACTGGGCCGATTTCACATCAGAGCTGAAATATGAGGGCTGCCTTCCAACATTATTATGGCTCAAAGTCAAAACCTCCATCCAATTCAAACCCTGCAGTGGGAAACATCAGACACAATTGTGGAGGCATGGCAGTGTTATGGAACAAGAATGCAGAACCTGGAAAGAGAGACTCACTGGTACTTCATCACAGAGAAAATAAAAATGATGTTCTAAATGTCTTTGAACAGGAGATATGCAGACACATTTACAAATGGGCAATTAATTGCAAGTTATGTTCCTCTGTTTAGCATTCTTTGGATCTATGCACTTGCTAGGCAGAGCATCAATCATGATTTGTGTTATTAAGTAGACGTGTGGGAGGACTGATTGCTTAACATGTAGCAGATTTTGGAACGTGTGCTGAAGTGGTAATGGGATTCAAAGAGGAACCTTCTGGGCACATGCATAATGCCAGTTAATACACACATTAGCTAATGCACATGTATATACTGATAAACAGCAAATGAGCTCATGCACACACTGGTGCTGCTGCATGCCACAGAGGCCAGATGTTACCAGAGAAGAATTTACTTTTTTGTTGCACAAAACTTTCAAATAGCATCCAGACCTGGAATATAGAACTTGCATGATAGTTGAGAGTCAATTACAAAAACAATGTGTTGTGTGAAATACATTAAAAGACTGTTGCAGAAACATATTGAACAGATCCAATGGGTAAATAAGTCAAAGGTCACGTTGAAAAAGGTCAACAGTTAAATCTCTGGAGGTCCTGATTACAAAGCGAAGGGTTTCAAGGCTAACTGTGGTTCAAGGTTGTAAAACAAACCACAGAGGGACCTGGCTGGGGGCAGGGCCCGATGGTAGGCATGTGGGAGCAGTGGGCTCGATTCATGCCGAGGGGATTCTGTGGGCCAGGCTGTATCATGGCACTTGGCTTTACATGGCCTTCCCCTCTAAAGCTCCATCCATCCCCCCGTCCCCTCCCCAGGCCAGCGGGGCAGGAAGCAGCAGGGTAATACCAACCGCCGCTGGCTTCTGGATCTCGTCACTCTGAAACCCGCAACCTGAACCCACAACCTCAGACCTGTTTTTCACTCCATTTCCCCAACAATCACATGCAATACATGTCTGCTTACACGTTCAACAGAGGCAGGGGGGTGTGTGTGTGTGTGTGTGTGTGTGTGTGTGTGTGTGTGTGTGTGTGTGTGTGTGTGTGTGTGTGTGTGTGTGTGTGTGTAAGTTCCTGTAAGTGTATGTTTAACAGAGATGGGGCCCTCTCATGGTAGAGCATAGTTACCCTGTAGAAATGGTATTGAGGTCTCAGGCTTAATATGGCCAAGTCATGCTAAATTACATTTGTACGCATGATACTGTGTGTGCTATATTCATGAGTGCTCTTTGTTTTGAGCAAACTTCAACTACTGTATATTTGAACTAAAGGAGCACATAAGTGAACGGTGTGTGTGTCTGCCCAAGGACAACTTAAGGAGGAGTCATATACAATAAGTCAAGTCACCAATTCACGAGTCCAAGTCACTCTCGAGTCCCCACTTTTCGAGTCCAAGTCCGAGTCACAAGTCTTCATGTATTAATCTTAGTGGCTATATGTGTTGAAATGTAGCTGCTCCTCTACATTGCTTTTATCCTGTCATGTTATACTAATTTGTCTATTGAACTACTGTGAAGCCAGTTTGGATACAATTATTGTATAAAAGGTGCTATACAAATATAAAGCTTATTACTAATATTAATATTATTATTATTATTGTAAATGACCTTTAATATGTCTAACTATATTTAAAATGAGTTACCTTTTAGAGAAGTGATTGTATTTGTATGCCAATATTTTCGTTTTGCACTTTTATTTTGATAGTAATAACATCGGGACTCTTATTTTGAAGGAACTTTTACCGGAAGTTAATGGACAACGGAGCAGTGTAAACACTTGACATACATGTATAATGACGGATAGATGACGAATAAATGAACATATACTAAATAGTTACATTGGGTTTTTAGCACCTGGCTGATAAGGGCACAAGCTCTTACGTTGGTAATGATTGTATATAAGCAAGGGTGATCAATAAACAGATACCATCAGTTAGAGAGTCTGACCATCATTCAGCCGGAGACGCTACAATTACTATAGTGAATGTTTCAATTCTATCAATAAAGATTAAGCCCCAGAAAGCACATGGCTACTTAGCATGCAAAATGCACGTCTGTCCATCCTGAGAGAGGGATCCTCCTCTGTTTCTCTCCTCAAAGTTTCTTCAATTTTTGGGAGAGTTTCCTTGTCCGATGTGAGGGTCCAAGGACAGAGGGTGTCGTATTCATATTCTGTACAAACTGTAAAGTCCAATGTGACACATGTACAATTATGGGCTATATAAATAAACTTTGATTGATTGATTGATTGAATCACTAACGGTGCATGTCTTGCTGTGTCATTACATCTTGTTGTGGGGTCTATGCAAATGCTAAAGCAACATCTGTGAGGCGAAGAGTTTTTTCCCATTTCCCAATTCTAAAAATTAAAATGTTCAATTGTGGTTGTGAATACTCTTTCTCTGTGGAACCAACTGTTATTAAACAAACACCATTAGCCCCTAGCAGCTCCTCCACAGTATCTGTGATGAGCAAAGTGGCTTCTTAATTTGTTTTCTATGACTCCCAGAGGCTTAAAGCGGAGTCCCACTGTGCATGTGTGTGCCTGGGGGTAATTCACAAGCATTATGATTCATTAGACCTGCAATTACTTAGGTAAGTTAAGCACTCCTGCCGACGTTGGTCGCTCTGAATTGCCAGAACTTCTGAGCTGTGGATTTATGACCCCGGTCAAGTCCAAATGCTGTTAATTTGCATTTACCAATTATAGTAATTAAGGCTTGAATTAGAATGCTGAGCAGCACTCGGAGTGAGAGGGGGAAATGATCTCATGGAACATGGCGCGTCAGCAGAATGTAAGCACAAGCCAGTGAGGGATTTTAT